CAGTGTTGATCAGTGCTTCTCAGGTTTGTGCATTAACTTCTCTAGGTAAGCCAGTATCCACATAGCACTCAGCAGCTGCTTCTGTGAAAGATTTAAAGAAATTCCCTCTAGAAATCCTTCCAGACTGGCTTGCTCTGTCACTGCAATGACAAAAGAGCTGTAAATTGCTCAGATTCAGAAGGATTTTGAAAATTTACTTTTTTTTTTTCCTGTTTTTAATGTTAAAATGATGATACTAAACAAAAGAAACAGCAGGGGTGGGGAGGAAGGCATGTAAATAGCTAGATATGGAGAACAAGGAACACGGGGGTTTAGATACCTCAATGCTAATTGCCTTTTTCTCTATTTAGCAATAACACAAAAAGATGGGACTTTCCCCCACCCCTTATGAGCCTCTGGGCTGAAGCTGGATGTGATGTAGATGGCGATAGAAGTTTCACATCAATGTCTGAGTGCAAGCACAGGGGCACGAGTATAACCACATTATTGTTTCATTCTGTTTTCATAATGCAGTCTCAGTTTCCTCTTCCAGTATGTTAATTGTGCTAACATATTCTCATTTGTACTCTACACCCACAGCATCTGCGTATGACTTTGTTCATGGTTCATCAAGGAAAGAAACATTCTAATGGTGAACATCTGGGGGAATAGTTTTGGAATGAAGAAAGAGGAAAATTAGTGCAATGATGAAAAACAATTCAGAATTGAATATGGAGCTCTATATGGTCTATTGTAAACGTGTCCTTAGGTTGTGGCAATTGCCACTGAAGTGGAAGAGTACATTGTCGAGCTTGCTGGAGCTAGAAAGGAAGGTTCTTTCAGTATTCTTCATTCCCTTATCTTGGCTGATGAAAGCTGACCATTCTGATGTTTGATATCAAATTCTGGAAGCCATATCCTCTGAGGAGCGGCTGAGGACTCTGGGTTTGTCTAGTTTGGAGAAGAGGAGGCTGAGGGGCGACCTCATTGCTCTCTATGCCTTCCGGAGGAGGGGACACAGAGAGGGATCTCTTCTCCCTGGGATCCAGGGGCAGGATGTGTGGGAATGGTTCCAACGTTGAGTCAAGGGAGGTTCAGACTAGATATTAGGAAACATTTCTTTACTGATAGGGTGGTCAAACACTGCAACAGGCTTCCTGGAGAGGTGGTCAATGCCCCAAGCCTGCCAGTGTTTAAGAGGCATTTGGGCGATGCCCTTAATACTGTGCTTTAACTTTTGGTCAGCCCTGAAGTGGTCAGGCAGGAGGACTAGATGATCACTGTAGGTCCCTTCCACTGGAACTACTCTATTCTAAATTTATTTAAAAAAAAAACAAAACAAAAACCAAAAAACCAAAACAACCAACCCAACTGGTAACTTTTGTTCGTTCCAACCAAGTTTATCAGGGCCCAAACAGGGCCCTAGTGCTCTTTCATTGTCTTCACTGAACCAGTTGCGCAGATAATTTAAGCTTAAGAACAAACAGTTATCTTTTGGTAGAATACCAAAGTATGTTTTCTTAAAAGTATGCTGTAGCTGTCAGCTCAGGAGTTGGTGGTATTAGGAAAACCATAATGAACTAATGAAAGTAGTAAGTAAATGGGGTTTGAAATCACCTAAGACAGCTAACTTTTGCAGCCCAGAATGGCCGTACCAGGTCTGATCAAAAGCCTGTCTAGCTCAATATTTTTTCCTCCAACAAAAAAATCAGTAAGAACAATGGTCATCAGTGGTTGCTTACATAGTTATTCTCATATTTGCTAAGAGCAGTGTGAACAGTTAGTAACTTCCCCAGATTGCTCTGCTAGCATTCAGAAATTAGGGCACAGGGACGTTCTTGGCTGGAGGTGGTATCTGTGCTTGAGCCTTCAGTGACTTTCTTGTGAGTTGGATAACTAGTAATGAGAAAGAACTTATGGTCATTGTAACTGGATTACATGCATATTACTAACAGAAATGTAAAATTTGCATTTCTGCTTTCAGAGAATGTCACTTCTGTGCTATAGATGATAACATTTAAAAAATGCTGGTAAAATAATGGCTATAGGGGTTACTTTTGTGCTCGGTTTTGATGGTGGTGTTTTGCTCTTTTGTTTTTTCCAGTTTAGTTGTTGCACTGTCTTCACTTTTGCTTCAGAGAGAACTACGTATATAAATGGGTTTGCTAAGTTGGCAAAGAAGAACAGACAGCCTGTGGTGGTATGTATGTTTGCATCCTGACTTACCACTTTGCTTCTGGCAATCTGTGAATGAGGTCTTCTGCAATGTACCTGTGAATCTTCCGTACAAACAGATAAGGTGTTCTGTTTTGTTTTTTTAGCCCTGTTTGTATAACGCATCATTTTAATGATTAACCTGAGCAAGTTGAAAGAATTTTTAGGAAGCAAAAGCTATGAAAAGAAATTATACATCATTTGAGTGACTTTTTGCCTTTTATTGCCAACATATTGGACTTTTGATAATTTTCAGAATTCAAAAAATTTCTTTTTAATCTTGTTGGAGTGAAATATTGCAAGTATGGGGGAGCAGCTTTTATATTAATTGTTTTTAATATCTTTATGTATGTAGTCTGACAGCCTTTTGTTACAGTAGGCTTAGTAACACCAGTGTTACTTGATTTGCAGAGTAATACCTTTTGTGATAGCAGGTGTGGAAATACTTCAAATCACCAGGTGATTTCATAAGAATAGAAACTTTCTTGGATCTGACTTAAAAGGATAATTGCTCCCTATGACTTTCCTCAAGGCAGCAAAACAAATGCGTATGTAGAGAAGTGTGTTTTCATAGGAGATGTGAGTCTAGGAGAAACCTGTGCACATAGGAAAAAACAGTGCATTTTTAATGCTTGTGTTATATTTGAAACATTTTTGGGAAAAAAGAAATCTATTTTGGTCCTTTTTAGAATGAAAGTATCTCACCTTGCAAGCTTTTTCTATGTACTGAATGGTGAAAGGCAAAAGTATGTTAGTGCTTTTGGTTTCAGATATTAAAGCACTTTTGTCTTTTTTTAGTTTAGTGAATGTTAAAACTTGGAGTAAAACTGAGCTTGGACAGGATACAAGATCACATATGGGATTTTTCTTTTCCCTTTCAGAGCATTTTTGAGCCCCCGCACACTGGAAAGCCTAGTCAGAAAGGCGGAGAAGGAGGAGACGAGAATATTTTTGTGTCCTTGATGTAAATGCCACGTTTTAAAGAAATTACATGATGAAAATTGCTTTCCATTTCAGTATCTCTAAGGACTATTAACAGGAGCAACTCCAGACCTAGAAATACTTTGCAGTCTGCTAGGGCTCAGAATAATGAGTTAATTTTATCAGGACACAAGATAAAGGAAATTGCATCTTGACTAGTTTAACTGAGGAGATTCTGGCATTATTTGAAACAGTTACTGATTTGTTTCATGCATGCCCATGAGATTGTGGGGAGAGTTGTTGTTTGTCATGTAAGGCCTTGTAGGGATGACATGTGGGGGGAAGACCTCATCTTTCTCAAGGAAGTAGAATAAGAGGTTATTTATATTCTGCTTACTTTTACAGCGTTTTCCTGTTTGTGTGATCAGGGTGTTGTGGGAAAGGGTGAGGACAGAAAGGGAGATGCAGCAGTATCCCTAGCTGCATATTTGAACAACTGCAGCTTTTGCTAAAAGCGTACGTGTACAGGACTCTGTGGCAGTGGTTGCCATGGGGTTCATCTGTGTGTGCTGTGGGGAATGATGAAACCACCATGCTGTTTGTTTTCCTCGATTTAAAGCGAATCAGAGCTTGAGCTGACTGAGTAATTCCGTAAGCAGTTTGTGGTTTTTCTGTGTACACACGCTGACACACGTGCAGAGACACACATAAATAGTTCTGCTCTTAGTGTGTATGTGCATGCTGTACCTGAAAAATTTTTACTAGCTGTCTGCTAGCAGCATGCTTAAAGTGTGCGTAAACTTTCTGCAACGCTGCCAGTTCTTTGCACGGTGAAACAGGGCTATGTGGTGTCTGTATTTTGACCTGTCGCTAGCAGCCAGTTTAGGTTTAATAATTAGAAATACTCAGGCAGTTTATTTTCACCCCATGGGCAAAATACTGATTATTTAATTACTTTTGTGATCAATTGCTTTGTTAATTCAGAACTGCAATATGGGGTTTTTTGGTTTGTGGGGTTTTTTTTGTTGGTGGGTTTTTTAGTTTGGTTTTTTTTTTTAGTTTTCGTTAAACACTTTGTATTTCTCAAACAGATTATTTGAGCGAAGCGGGTAGAAGCAGCTGCTTCATGGTACCACATACTGAGATTTTTTGTAGTCCAGTCTTTGGTTTCTGGAGGAAGTCTAAGGTATATTACATATGTGGAGTCCTGTGGCAGTTCGGAACTACATCTGTCTGCTTAATCCAGTTTGGAGAAAGTCTCCCTTCAGACAGGGCTGTTCTTTGGGGCCTGACAGAAAACGCTTTCGGGTGCACCTGTCTGTATAGATGTTAGTGGAGGCCTAAGCAGCTACGAATAGGATTTGCGCATTAGAAAGATGCAGTGGGACTTAAATCACCAGTTATGAGACTAATTCAAGTGATGAGCATGGAAAAGTGAGGAGCACCATTTTTTCAGTCAGTTAATAGCTTGGATTTCTTATTCTAAAATATGTTATGGTAACCTGCAGTTTCTGGACGAATACTGCGTAGTGTGGACTTCATATAAAATCTGATTCAACATAAATGACAAATAATACGCCTTTTTTTCCCCCTTACATTTCTTGAGTTGATTGGAAGTGGGGATAAGGACTTGGTATGGCTTTAGCAATACTCGGTTATAGTCTTTCACAGTTGGTACCTGAAAGAGAAGAGAGAATCCAGCTCCTATGATCCTCTTGTTTCTGCATTTCTTTCCTCTGAGAAAGATCAATGAAATCTCTTGTACTGTTGGTTGTTTAAAATTTTATTTATTTGCACAAATACATTTGCTTTGCAGGAATTCTGTTTTCATCATGTTGTCTCACCAGTGCTGGATGAGCTGAAACTTCCTGCGTCTTGGGGAGAGCATGTATAAAAGGAATGACCTCATGGCCAATGTGATGGTCACCTCCGCCACTCCAGAGGTACAGTTCCTTGGGTTTTGTTAGCTCCTGTATCAAATGGAAATTTTGGCTTGTTTGAACTTCCACAGAGGCTCTTTTCACTGCCAGTTATGTCAGTCCTGTTTCTTATGAATGGTGTAGTATTTGACGACAGAGTAATTGTAGAACACTGCATAGTTCTGAGTATTCACAACCTATTTTTTTATTGTTGTTGATGATTACTCACTTAGATTTGTTTTAAATAGCATTTTTGACCTGTAACTCCATATCCTACAGCAGCCCTCTATTATTAATGAGTTAAGAACAATGTAACGTACCATCTAAATGGAACCAGTCAGAAATACTCCAGTTGAATTTTTTTGGAATTTGCTAGTCTACGAGTAAGAAAGTGCTCTGTAACATTTTGCTCATTTTAACCCTTTGTATCCTTTGGTGACCAGGTAGCTCTGTCATGCTTTTTCCAAAAACTGCCTAGTTCTGTGTTGAGCTGTTTGTAGGTCCAGGACAGCCAACTGAGGACTGCTTGGGAATTAGTTACCCTACTGAGCTTTTTCTGGGTATTTTACTTTCATGTAATATTATGATGAAATATTATAAATCAGCTACAGTAAAGCTTGCCCAATAAAGCACACGTTTTAAATATGACTGGAGGTACTTTTTGCTTTTTAAAAAGGTAACATTTTGATGAAATTCTTCCCTGCTTAAAAAAATTCTACTTCTCCATCTCTTAAGACAGCTGAAAAGCTGTGTGAAGCAAGTTTTTCCATTGTAGCGGTGCCTTTTGCACACTCAACTTGATCCTATCAAAGCAGTTGTCCTGATTTTCATGAAACAAATCAGCTGTGAGCTGATCCTTAAAAATCTTACAGCAAAACAAAAATACATAATACAGCTGTGCCCTGCAGAAGATCATTTTCCCAAACATAGTATAAATACCTTCAGACTAACAAAACCAGTTTTTCATTCTCTCAAGAGGGGGGACATTTTGAATTGGGTATGTAAATGCACAACTTTGAAATTCCTCCTCAAAATAACTACAAAAAAACCCCCACCAAAACGAACTTTCACACACCGTTTTCTCAGAACAGAAATATCTGTTACAGATCAGAGCATAAGAAGTCTCCAGGGTCAAACCAAAGTTTCTTCTATTGCATTATTCTGCCTCTGATAGTGGCCAACAGCAAATGCCTGAAGAAGGGCACAAGAGCAGTGCCAGCACGGGAAGCACCCTGCCGGTACCGTCCTGGCCATAGCTGTTTGCAACCCAGGGACTTCCTGAGGGGAAGGTCCTGCTTGCCATCTCTCAATGTATTTGTCTTCCACAAATTCACCTAGTCCCCTGTTTGAATCTATGTAGTCTTTTAGTTTATACAGAATCCCATAACAAGCTGTTTTTCAGCTTAACTGTATGCTGTGTGAAGACCTGTATCCTCTTATTCATTTAAAATCCATCTCTAATTTTAACTGATAACCCCTTCTCCTGGTATTAGATGAAGCAAAGAGACCATTCCTGTCTTTCCTCTCACTTACTTTGTTGGGTATTGTAATTCCTTCCCACAACCCACTGCCTCTTTTCCAGGTTGAAGATTTCTGGCATAGCCAGTCTGTCTTTGTACAAAAGCCATTCCATGCTTGTGATCATCCTTGTTGCCTTGTTCTAAAACTTTTCCAGTTCTTTGATATCCCTTTTAAGATGGAGACTAATACTGCATATATATTCCAAATTTGGGTGCACCATGGATTTATAAAGGAGCATATTCATACTATGTTGTATATTTTCTCTTTTCCAGAGTTACTAAATCTTGTGAAGTCCCTTTTAAGGTTTTCATTGCCAGTCTTTGGGTTTTGTTTTACCACATTGAATAAATAAAATGAAGATCCATAGCTGTCACCTCATTGTTCACTGTCTTTTCCAGGTTGTTGAGTAAATAATAATCGTCACTTATCCATGCATACTTCTCTGCTGATTCACGTATTCTCAGTGCTTGTACTGTACTACTGTCTTGTAACTAATTATTTATTATTGCAAGGATAGTCTGTGTGCTAGGGCTGCATAGCTTCCTTAATGTCTTTGGAGTGAGGCACCACGTCAAAAATCTTTTGGAAGTCCAACATGACTGTATTAATCATGTTCCTTTACCCACATGTCTGTAGATACTGAGGCAGTGCTGCTCCTTCTAAATACTAACTTGGCAATTTCCTGATACAGCATACCTATCTGTGTTTCTGCTGATTCCACTTTATTCTCATTTTGGGTTTGCCCAGTACAAATGTCTGGCTTCCTGATCAGTAGTTCCCAAGATACTTTGTAGGGGGAAAAAAATAATCAGCATCTCATTTACCACCTTCTAGTTCTTTGCTACCAAGTCAGTTTTAAGTTAGAATTACATGTCACAGTTAGTTAAGATGCCAAAACATCTTGTTTTGACAATGGTGTTCTTCTAGCAAACAAATAACCTCAGTGAGGTAAGGGCTTAAGATTTTATGTGCATGTAATTTTATTCACTATGTAGTTTTAAGAAAAGAAATAGAAAAATAATGCTGCTATTATTATTAAATCCATTATTCCTGAAGAAAGGAAACCGAGAGCCACAAGTGCCTGCACCTGAGCTCAAGGACAGAAACTTCAAAAGGAAGGCAAGGCACTGACTTTTAAGGCAAGACACAGTACTAAAGTACCCTGGAGCTAACATTGGGTTAAATTTCAGGACATGTCAGTTTTTCCTTTTTTATAATGTTATGGATAGAGCAGCATGATTTGGATCTATCCACTCTCTGCCTTGCATGTTTAATTTAAAAATTTCCGTTGAATGTAATTGTTCAAAATCCCAACATGTTTCTTTTTGTGTGACAGCTCTTCTAGCTAGTCTATAATTTTAAAAATGGCTTTCTAAAGCTGGAAATTTCATAGAGCTAAAATTGTATCACTGTAGTTTTTGCAGAGGAAAGTTAGTTAGAAACATTTGTGAACCGTGCTAAACTAAATTTTATAATTCAGTGTCTGAAGGTTTTTGAAATTCATACATTTTCTTGTCATTTCTTAATATTTTTACACGTTTATTTTCTGAATTTGACATGAAATTCATTATTCTGCAGATAAGCCTACTATTTTTTCTTTGTAGGGTAGTAGCAGCTCAGATTCTCTGGAAGGGCGAAGTTCAGATTATGCCAATAAAAGCTACGATGCAGTTGTATTTGATGTGTTGAAAGTAACTCCTGAGGAGTTCGCTGTAAGTAGAAATGTTATTTTTGCATTTAAGCTTGTATAATATTCAGGGCTTGCAGGATATTAAAAATCACATAAAACTTTTTCTTAAAATAAAATCTTTTAAATGAACTTCCAGTGTTCTTGAAAACAAATTTCTGATTATATAAACTTTAACAAAATAAACATGTCTTGGGATTTAATCACTCAGTACTGACCTGACACAGCATATTTGGTTTTCTGAGTAAAGCCATTTGAATTTTTTCTAGTGTTTTAGAAGACCCTAGCATAGGTTTAAAGATTTCGGTTATCCACAGTCTGATTGTTTGGTTTTTTGTTGTTTTTTTTTTTTTTAATTGAAACCACAAATACTCATCTTTTCTGCTGAAACAACAGTTTCTCAGAAAAATCAGTTTCTTAAAAGCAGGAAAGAAGCCTGTAGAGAGGAAACAATTTGCATTCCTTAATGACAAATTTTCAGGACTAAACTGAAAGCAGAACTGCAGTTTTGGCAATTGTCCAATACAGTTCTTGTGCTTGGCCCCTTGTTTTTAATTTATATGTTAACTTGTTGGGGACCAGGAGGGAGTAAGGATGAAGGCTATTGAACCCAGTTCAGTGTTTTTGTTAATATTTGGGGCAATCAAAATGATATTTCCCTCATTTGGCGCAAGATCATTTAATACCTGTTCACAAAAAAAGTCCTGGAGATATGCCTATATTATTCCTATACGTTTGTCACTTTGGAACAAATTCTGATGAGTCTTTTTTAACACTAATACAGAGTACACAGATGAGAGCTGTTGTTAGGTAAAAATATAAAAACACTTGGTTGGCAAATCTGCATCAGCTCAGTTAAAAAATGGCCTGATGCTTCTGCTCCTCTTCATCCAAGTTCAAATGATCCATGGCCAAGGACTACCTTCAGAAATGAACAGAACCGCAATTTAGACAGGCCTGTAAAATCACACAAAAACAGAGATGTAAACTTTTCATCAGAGGAGACTGACTATTAAGTCCAAAGACAGCCCAGAACACAGTGTGTAGTCTACACCAGCAAAAATGAATTTGTGGTGATGTCAGAACTGTATTTATAAAATGATCAGGTCAAGGTAAGGTTGCTTGTAACTTACAGCTCATCAGTTTTCTGTTGTGTTCATAATTCCTACTGCTGTTGCTTGTTGGTGAGGGTCTTGATTTAATGGTACACTTTAAAAACACACACATATGCCCCCTTAAGTAATTGTGACATACCTTTTAACTCTGAAGTCCAAACTTCTGTAAGTTGCTTTTCTCTCTCCAGTTCCACCCATAGCCGTGAACAAAATAAACAAACAGAAAACCCACCAACCCCTAAAGAAACCAAAAATTGAAATGTGTGTCTGTAGGACTGGCAGTGAGGCTTGAAAAAGATCATACGTAAACCCTAGTGATAAGGCTGTTTGTTTGGGATTGCTTTTTTTGTTGATGTTGATTTTAATATGGTCATGCAAACTTGTAACACCAAGGCTTTCTTAGCCAGAGTAGCTATTCTCCTTGTGCCCTATTAAAAGCTTTTCATTACTTTATCCTGATCCTCTTTTTTTATTAACAGCTCAAGTTATGTTTACTGCTTCTGTTCCATCCAGAGAAGGAGATAATTTCTTTTTTCAGTAAATAATAGCAACCAATAAATTATACATACCACTTTTTGTTACTCAAGACTGGTAGTCTGTTTCAAATAACTTGAAACAGTTCAGTTGGGGAGAATGAAAAAAACGGCAGGTCTGGGTTTACTGTAGTTAGTACAGTTTGGTTACTGGACATCAGGGCAGAGATCTATGGAAGCTGGGATTGCTGTAGTGAATACAAATATTTAGAGAAAGGGAATGGAGCCAAGTTAAGGTCGCTTCCAAATTTAGTGTGTTGTGTTCCTTTTTAAAATTCAGAAGCAGCAGAGGATAAATTCCCTGGTGGTAATCACATATATAACAAAAAGACTAGCAGCTTGTCAATACTACTTGAATTTTGGTTTAACCTCTTTGGTGATTTTGATTGAACCCGTGTCTTGTTGAAACGGTTAAGAATTCTCATGGAAAACTTCTTTATTACTGTCACATAATATGGCTTATAGTCACATTTTTGGAGCCTCTGCTGTGTATCATATTAGGAGACAGTCAAAAAGTTGCAAACGGGCATTTGTGACTGCAGTTTTTCTAGGAGCGTGGCGAGATCTTAATGACATCTGAGACTGTAAATACCCAAATATTACTCAGAAGTATAAATTGCAAAATAAGTGCGGCTAAGAGTGTTTGGCTAGGGCTTTGTGGCAAAATCTTTGACTTAGCATAATATAAAAGCAAGAGATAGTTAGAGAGTGTAAATTAACCATGTATGGAAGGAAGTTTTTTTCATGTGTGTCATTTTGTGGGCCTCATTAACTTTTCTAGGCTCATGTCTGAGGAATCATACTAATAGTAGAAACCTTATGGTTTATTCTCGCTATTTTGGGTTTAGCATAACAAGGTGGCTAACAGAGAAGCTTTGCTGGGGAAAGATCCAAAGAAGCTTTCTTTGACACTTTCTTTTACACATTAAATCATGTAAATTACAAAGTTCAAAGCTCTATAGGTTTATACACTCATGGTATAATTGAAGTACCTATTGGTTAAACATAATTTACATAGCTTTCAAACATATAATGTCATTCAATCACCGAAGCAATTCAAGTATCACTCAGATGCTAAAATGTTCTAGAAATGCTTTTTTTTCAAAATCATTGGCTTTGAAACAGCATTACAGTGTCTTGTCAGGACATACTCATCAGTGACTGAAAATCTGTGTATGACCCCTTCCAGTCATAACTAACATGTCATTATGCTTTATTGCCTTTCAACCCAGTGAATATAAAGGTATGCTGTTTTCTGTGTGAAAGGCAAATAAATCTTCCTGCTATTTCTGTTACGTCAATAAAGGGCCCGAGCAGTGAGGCTCTCGAACACAGGTTTTTCCTCTTAGACTGCTGCAGGTACTGAAAACTTTCACTTAGTTACAGCCAGTAACTGTAAGAGAATATAACGACGTTGTCGCTCGGGAGGGTAGAGCTTCTGTTTGCGGTGTGTCAGCCTGGACAGGGGAGCCTGAATTCAGGACTGGTCAGTTCTGGTCTGTGGAAAAAATGTGACTGTATGGTTTGTAGTTACTAAAGGGCAGATGTAAATGCATGATAGTTAGCTCTTCGTATTACGTTATTTTAAATTTTATCTTTATTGCAGAGCCAGATTACGTTGATGGATATGCCGGTATTTAAAGCTATACAGCCTGAGGTAGGTTTTCTTAAACTAACTGTTTACATCTTTGGAATTCAGTGCCTGAGGAAATGTAACCATTTACCTAATGCTTGTTCTTTCAGAAACACTCAACTTCTTGCACTGCACTAATATTCTTCTAGGCTGATTCCTTGTTATCACTGTGAATCTGTAACCCAGCCTGATTTACTTTGATTTGTTGTCTATTGTCAAAAGAGATGACTGTGCTTTTCTGGAATTCTTCCTGTCCTGCTTTGTGGTGAGCGTTTCTTCAGGATAAATTTATCAAACATCAAAATTCTCTACTCTCCCTTCTGCTCCTGTTTTTCAGTTCACATCTGTCCTGGTTTCGGCTGGGATAGAGTTAATTTTCTTCCTAGTAGCAGGCACAGTGCTGTGTTTTGGATTTAGTAGGAGAAGAATGTTGATAACACACTGATGGTTTAGTTGTTGCTCAGTACTGCTTATGCCAGTCAAGGACTTTTCAGCTTCCCATGCTCTGCCAGGGGCACAAGAAGCTGGGAGGGGGCACAGCCAGAACAGTTGATCCCAACTGCCCAAAGGGCCATTCCATACCACGTGACGTCATGGGCAGTAGAGAAACTGGGTGGATGGCCAGGGAGCAGCGATCGCTGCTCGGGAACTGGCTGGGCATCGGTCGGCGGGTGGTGAGCAATTGCATTGTGAATCACTTGCTGTGTATGTTGTTGTTGTTGTTGTTGTTATTGTATTGTTATTATCATTACTATTTTACTTTATCTCAACTATTAAACTTATCTCTAAACTAAATCTTATCTCAACCCAGGAGTGTTTCTCACTCTCACTCCTCCGATTCTCTCCCCCATTCCATCGGGGTAGGGGGAGTGAGCGAGCGGCTGCGTGGTGCTGAGCTGCTGGCTGGGGCTAAACCACGACAACATCTGATTTCAGAGTTTGACTTCTACCTCTGATCTAATGTGTATTTTAGGCTGTATCAGCTGCCTGGTAAACTTTTTAATTTGTACTGTCACGTTTAAGATAGAATTCTGAGGGAATAAATCAGCCCAAACCCTTAAAAAAGTTAACGTATTAGTGCCCTTCAGTTTTGTAACCTTTTAAGAAAGATACAGAAAGAAACTTGAGGCCTGTTGAGAAAAAACAATCAAAGTTAACATAGACATTTGAAAATAAGAAATAAGAACTTCAGAAATAAAGATGGTAGTTATCAGAATATGTTAAATTTGTATAAAAGTGATACCGTCTCGGTATTTTGATGAAGTAAACTTATTTTCTGCAAAAGTTACAAGAGTTGTGTGTTTCCAGCTTCTTTAATTATGAGTACATGTCCTTAGATCCACTATGGTTTATTGTTGTCTTGCGCCTAGGTGGAATATCATAAATACATAAAGGGGAAAAAGAACCCCATGTAATATTAATGAAATGTATTTTTGACAAGATCAGAAAGGGCACTCCAGTTGAGAAGGTTCTCAGTGGAAGCTCAGTCCATCTAATTTGGTCACTAACAAAATAACTTAATATATTACAGTTGTTCAGAGAGGTTAGCAGCTTTCTATTTTGAGAAAGTATAGGAAGGAAAATAAAAATTCATACTTGCTTGTGCAAAGTGGTCACAATTGCTCTGCAGAATGAGCTTTTGTATGCAGGAAGTGGTGTAAATACACCGGTACGTGAATAAGAGTGAATACTTCCAGTTTCCTGTGCTAGAAAGGAGGCGTGAAAAAAGCACAGAGAGGTTGAAATGGTTTGCTAGATGTTGCACAGAATCATATGGGTGGGAAGGGCCCTTCAGAGCCCACCCAGCCCAGCCCCTGCAGTGCCAGGGACAGCTTTAACCAGAGCAGGGTGCTCAGAGCCCCGTCCAGCCTGGCCTGGGATGTTGCCAGGGATGGGGCATCTCCCACCTCTCTGGGCAACCCCTTCCAGTGCCTCACCACCCTCACTGTAAAACATCTCTTCCTTATATCCAGTCTATATCTACCCTCCTCTAGTCTAAAACCGTAACTCCTTGTCCTGTCATAACAGGCCTTGCTGAAAAGATAAAAAGCATAGCTAAGTTCCAGGGCAGAACTGTGCACAGAGGAGGTTTCCTTAGTCAGCAGCCATTGGGCTGGCTGCTTTAGCGAGTCATCTGTTGAATTTTGTGTTTGGGGGGAGAGCGTTATATTGGGGTTTTTTCGTCAGGTTTTAGTATTTAACATGAGCTTATGCATGGATGGAAAGACTTTAGAGTTCTGGTTGCCAAGTCTTATCTCAAACACACAAGCATACTTTAAACCTAGCATGTGCTAAGGCTTTTTTCTGCTTTTTGATTGAGCTATTACTAAAAACCACATCTGCATGTTACTTCACAAGAGTTCAGTAAGAGGACGTCTGATTAACAATTCTTTGTTCTCCAGCAGAAATAGCTATGCTTAGATTCTAGATTTCTATGTAACTTTATTAGTGGTGTCGCCGTCGCCCCATCCCCCTGCTCCAAGTCCCAGAAATTGCAATCTCCACAAATTTCAGGGTTTTCTTGCACACTTGATTGGAAAGTTTCTTGTGACTGTGTGCATTGAGGAAATTGCCTGCATCCTTCCATACAAAGAGGTGAAGGGTAATACTAGAACACAGTACATTTTAGCAGTATAAAAGAAAATGCAGCAGGGGCATGTTGGATCACTTACTCTTATCAACCTTCCTGTTCAGTCCAAATTTTAAACCTAGTCAAATGATTTTACCATGCACAGGATTTTCCATTGTTGCTCACTAGCCCTCTGGCAACTCTTTACTATCCTTAGGTTACTGACCTCTTCCACTTTTCTGACAAATTTAAGTTTTGCTGTCCATGGTAGAGTGACTGAGATTTTTCCACATAAACATATAATTTCCAGACTCTTAAGACCAGACGTGCACCAGTCGTGGAGAATCTGTGTCTTGACAGATGCGAATTGGCATTTCTATCTGCAGAAGGCTTAAATGCTGGAAGATTGGGATACAAAATATGTTTGGAACTGGAAATGCTTTTCCTGGTGCTCTCGCAGGAACATGCAGACCTCCACATCTGAGCGCGTTCCGTTTATCAGAATGTACAAAGCGCTTCTCGGAGGCAGAATTCTCTTTGGCTGACACTCTGCCTTTTTATGTGAAGGTGTCTGAAGTCAATAGCATACATTTGGAAAGTGGAACAGCATTTTGATTGAAACTGAAATTTGTGGTTATAAAAACAGAAGACTGATTTAGAACTGGTGTTATGGAGAACTCATTTCCAGTATGTCTGTATCTACCACTTGTCAGATCTGAATATAAAGACTGTATAGATATGTGGTAACTTGAATCTGTAGTTAAAAAGAGTCAGGCTGTCTAAATATATTTGGAACTGCCTGAAATAACTATTGGAAAATGGACACTTTCTGTCTGGCTAAATCAAATTTGTAGTTATAATTTCAAATTTCTTTTGATGCATAATTTAATACAGTTTATTTAAGGGGAAAATAATTAATCTGCTTTTAGCTCTTCTATTTACTTTATACTTCCCACAGGATTTTCTGCTATTTATTTTGCAGTTTAGGTGGAAGATTATTTTTTGCCATAGAGCACTGGGACTTTATTATGCATTGAAATTGATTCCTTGTGGTTATGGGTATACTACAGAACTGTGATTTTTCTTGTTATTTTGAACTGGGTTGACTTTGAAGTGGTCACTGTAATGAAAGCATTCAAAAATTTGTTTCATATACTGTGACTGAACTATGCAGCCTACTGGCAACTTTTTGCTTTATGAGCACCAAAGTACTAATCTATATTTTTAAGTACATGTCACACTTCAGTCAAGTCTGGCTAAACTCCTACGGCTCAAAAAACAGGAGAAAAAAAAAAAAATCAAAACCAAAAATGAAACAAAGAGTTCTAACCCCAACCTTCTGGCCAGAAGACCTTCAGCCTTAAGACTGTTACTGTCTAGCTGTTCTCAAATGATACGTTTTCTTGGTCTAAGTATCATGTACGGAGATTTCAGGGTTTTTTTAATTAGTTTGTAACTACTGTAAACAATAATATTACAGTTCCAAAATAATGTTCTTCAAATGCTTTCAATCTCACATTTTAATTAAAAAAAATTAGAGATTGAATATGATAAGCTGTGCTGTATTCATGGAAGGTTTACTAATTGTAACAATGAGGATGACACTCGGGAAGAATAGCTAGGTTACCACCTCCAGCTGCACAGCTGAATGTGGTACTCTTTAACTGCTCCTAATATTGCTTATTGGTATGTTTAACTTTAGCTTCAGTTTTGAACTAGATGAGATTATATACTAGCAAAGCCTTTAGTCCTGTATCTGCTGATTCGCTCGTATGAGGGAACCTCAGACTGAAATAATCAATGCAGCATGAAACTTCGGAGACATCAGTTGTGGCTGATTGCTTAGTGTTTCTGTACCTGAATATTACGAATGATGTCTGGTTTTTCTCATCTCAGGAGAATATATGAATCACATCATTTATGTGCATCAGGAAAACACAGAAGTGATTGGTTAGACTAGTTGTGATCAAATTGGTGCCTTTAGATTGGTTTTAGCAGTTATCTGATAGATGCTTCTGTCATGGATCAGTTTTTACACTTTCAAATGTTTTTAAACATTACTGATCTTTAAGGCAATTTTTAAATGTGTTTTGTAGGAACTAGCCAGCTGCGGATGGAATAAGAAAGAAAAACATATCCTCGCTCCAAATATTGTTGCCTTTACTAGGAGGTTTAACCAGGTAAATCATTCGTTTATTGTGATGAACAGGTACTGCTTGACAGTTGTCTTGGAGTATAAAGTTAAATAGAACTACTGCTATGAATTAAAACTTAAGAATAATTTTCTAAATGAAGATTAAGATTTTAAAATGGCAGTTCCTGTTTTCAATTGCTTTGTCCACATTTTTGTGTTGTTCCTCTAGACCATTAGTTCCTAATAATTTTTGCCAATGTGTCATGGTACAACATTACCAATTCTTTTCCTTCTTTTTCTGTGTTTCACCTGCTCATTCAGTTATCTTAGTGTTGCCTCACTTCTCTACCTACTTATATCCAGTGGTAATGCTTTTGGGCAATGGCAGCTATACAGATGAGAACTCATGGGATCAGAACTCTTCTTTCCTTACCCTGTTTTCTCCTTGGAGCATCATGAAAGTTTACAAATATTTCATCTACTAAAGTCCTTTTTTTGTAAATAAATCCAGTTATATGTGTTTACTTTATAGGTCAGTTTTTGGGTTGTACGAGAAATATTAACAGCACAGACCTTAAAAATAAGGGCAGAAATACTGAGCCATTTTGTGAAAATAGCTAAAGTAAGTGCAACTTTCTTGTACTATCATTCAAAATCATTTCCTTTCTGTTTGTTTCTGCACTACTCCTATGAGCCGTTGTTGGATTACAGAGGGTAACGTTCTTTTTTAGCATATCTGCTATGTTGTACCACGTGAATAAGATGAAGGTATGACACCTATTGTTTTTACTTGGTTAAATAAAACTACCTGTTTCAGTGTGACTCGTCTTGTACCTTTGCCTAATGAATTTAAAAGCAGTTTGTCTTGTTGATGGCCAGCTACGTGCTGCCAACACTGAACATGGTTGTGAACTGTTCTGGTTTTTGTCTCCCCCCTTTCAAACTTATCTTCTATGAAAAGAAATCTCTTGCTTCTAAAACAGCTATTGTGAGACTTGTATTTCTACTTGTAACATGTAGTTGGTGGTATAAAGTACCACCATTAAAGCTCGGTTATTTTAATGAGTTTGAGCACTGCATTTTACAAGTCATTCTTAACTTTTTAAAAAATATATTTAAAAAAAATATTTTTCTGCTTCATGACTTGTGGTCATTCTATTTTGTATGACCCTGTGTGACACTTCCTAATATTAGTAAGAGGACAGCACTTGAATCAAAAGCCTGAGTGCTAATCTTGTACATGCGAAATTGTGTGTGTGTGTGTAGGTAATTAGAATAATATTTTCCGTGTAATACAAAATACTTTTTTTTGTGTGGTGAATATTTCCAATCAGTTTACTTAGCAGTTTTGTGCTTATGCAGAAGAGAACGTATCTCACTAAGTTCCTGGCACAAGTGCATAGTCCAAGTACTAGGAGAATGGTCAACTTGGAGGTGCTAGGTTGCTCTTAGAAATAAGAGGGGGTTTCTCACCCCCTGCAAAAAGGAAAACACTGCCCTCTTTTTCTCTTTTCTTCCCTTTCTTCTCTCCCTCTTTCCTTCTTTTCCCTCAATAAAATCAAGATCTTCCTCAAATGCTCCTGAGCAATAAGTAAATCAATCACTCAAGGATGAATCCAAGATTTACAAAGAAGCTACATGACAGCAGTTCTCATTTTTTCTATCTTTCTGCAACTATGTTGTAGGAAACTTTATAATCTGAGATAGCTTTATTCCAAAGTAGTATCTCTTTTGATATCAATGTGTTTTGCGTAATTGCTAACACAGAGCAAATTTAAAGTCTGTTGAAGTGAGGAAAATCTGTCTGTAAAACAGATTACTAAATAAAATTTGTATTAATTCTGAAAGGGTCATCAGCATCTTTGTTTTTTGTCTTGATTAAATTTTTAATTTCCAACATTTTACTAATTTTCAAGAACAATGCATCAAATAATTTTTTCATATTTTCCGTTCCTGAAGGAACAGCCTTAGGAAATAACAAATTCAAATTAAATACAGTTTGTATTCTCACAACTGAAATGCCTGTTGTTTTGAGGGGTATATATGGAAAATACGCAACTTTTAAAGTGGTCTTAAGAATTTTGCACATTGCCAGCACTGGATAATGTTGTCTGCAGTCACTGATGAAAACTTTGTATTTTATGAATTAAAATTTTGTATTTTATTGATGCAACTTGGAGATTAATTAATCCTGCTTCCCTTTTCGATGTACTAAAAGTTATTATTCCCTTTTTTCAGAAGCTTCTAGAACTGAATAACCTTCATTCTCTTATGTCCGTGGTGTCAGCACTGCAAAGTGCACCTATCTTCAGACTGACCAAAACCTGGGCTGTAAGTTATTCCTTGACCATTGTCTTTTCTGTCTCGTTTGAATTCTGAGGTCTTCTGAACTCTCCTGAATTCTTGAATTGCATGCTGTGGAAGAAGATTCTTTATATTTTGTGGTACCATCATAGCAGAAGTAGTGATCTGTTACGTGTTTTGTGAAAGTAGAGTTTAAATGGCCGCATATATTTGAACAACCTTTTTTCCTGTAAGAGTTGTCTGTTTTCCTGTGTGTTCTAGAAGCTACTGATTGTATGCTCAAGAGGACTTCAGTGGATAAGTAATCTTAGAATATCCTTATGTAGAGTGTGTATCAGTATCCTATTATCCAAATCATAGTGTGTGTCATTAATACATTGCCTAAAAGGAAACGAAGAAAAAAGACCTATTACAAATACAGAAGCATTAATTTTATGATTATTTGTTTTAGAAATTAAAAGTATTGATAATTCTGTTTTCAGAAGTTTGGTCTCTGAGGGCAGAATTTCTCATTGAAATTTACTGTAAGTTTTGCTATTTCTTTAAAGTGGAATACACAATTATAATGTACTCCTGCTGTATGTAATCTTTAAATATACAGAGGATTAGGTAATTCTTATTAATTTAGTATTCCACCCAACATGGATCGCATTAACTGTTGAGGACTGATAAAGATGGCTATATGTAACTCTGTTACCTAAGTTTATTATGTCTTTAAAATGCCTGTAACTTTTTTTATGGTTTGATTGTGCAGAATTAAGCTATAGTATAATAAAAATGTAAGTGCCTGTTGTTTTGAGCAGCTTGATGAAGTTGGAAATTAACTAGGAAAAATCACTCACATGTCAAACTTAAGTGTGTGAATAATTCATTGCAGAACTTAGACCTAAATGGGTATAAGGCTCTTTGCAGGCACGGTAGTTCGAAAATACGATATAGTGCAGAGTTAGGGCCTCGAGGAATTTTCAGTGCTGTTCAGAAAGAAAACAGTGAAATTATGTGAAATCTTTTCACTCTTGTACCTTTTTGTGTTACATTTTATTAACGGTTGTTATTGAACCATGATGTGGTGCGCACTTTTCCAGAGTTGCCAAGGGCCTGAGGGCTCCCGTGCACAATGTTGTTTCACTGATGACTCCCGTTGAGCCCATCCTGACCAAGAGTGAATGAAGCAGCTAGCTCTCATATATCCATTGCAGTATTTTTTATAACAATGGCCAGACTCGGAGTTCTCTAGAAACAGAGCAGCTAGGCTTATAAGCTCTGTAGTACAAGAGTTGGAATTTTACAGAGAAGAGGTGTATTAAGAAATGTGCTATGGAACAGCCATCTGTTGTCAGAAAGTAAAACTGCGAGAAACCAGTGTACAGTGCCGTAATTCTCCACTCATTCTGACTCAATTGGCTTTAAAAATCGTCTTAAAAGTATTGCTGGTGTTTCTAAAAACAGCTCAAACAGGGAATGTCTTTTTATAGCTACAGTTGTGTATTTTGTGTTTACTTTTCATTCTATCACTTTAGGATCTTCTGCATTGGTAAATATTTTTCTGATTTTCTGTAGTAAGTCCAGTAATAGAAAACAAAGATTTAAGTATCATAGTGGTTTACTTTCCTTATACTTTTTTCAAAAAAGTTTTGTCATACTTTTAATAAGGCACTGTTGAAATGGCACACTTTATTTAAAGCATTTTGCATTGCTATTTCTACTTGCAAATTCAAGAGGATTTTTAGAAAATCTGATAAACTATGAGAATGTCGGTGACTGTATAATAACATATGTTTTTCCTCTAAAAATTTACTATTGCTGAGGTTATTCAAAACTCTGAGGTAGTGATATGTGGATCCTTGATAAACTATTCAGAAATAATAATCATATTTGTTCATAGCTTAAGACTTAGGCTGAATTGCCTTCCTCCCACCCCTTAACAGGCAGCACGTTTTCAAATGTGCTGGTTTGGGTGATGATGATGAATGTATAGTTTACTTGACTATGCTTTCCTTTACTGTGGGTGATTCAACAAACTATTATTTGTTGTTGTCTTTGTGCTGATTTGTCTTTTAAAATTTGACTTCTCATTTTTTTTCTTTGTAGCTTTTGAATCGCAAAGACAAGACCACCTTTGAGAAGTTAGACTATTTACTGTCTAAGGAAGATAATTATAAAAGGACACGAGAGTACATCAGAAGCTTAAAAATGGTTCCTACCATTCCATATTTAGGTGAGTGTGAACAATTACCTTATTTATCTGTAGCTCATTTTGATGGACAAGCACTAATGTAGCATGTTGTGCACCTGAAGAACACTATATATAGAAGGTATGGTTTACTTAATTTGATATTTGGAAAAATTAGATCTAGTGGAGATTTTTAAGCTACACACTGTCTAGGATCTCTAACTTCTAGAAGTTTTGTGCCTTACTGACATCTGAAAGGGTAAGTATGTCTTTGTTTACTGTCCTTTTGATGTCATCAGAATTTACAAGAGTACTGGGTTTCAGAAGTGTCTGAGTACAGCGTGATTCAAGACCTCGTTCCTGTAGCTTTCACTTTTGCTAGACTATTTTTTCAGATACCTCATAACTTGCTATCTCTAAATTATAGTTGTTGGTTTGTGTCAGTTTCTTGTAAATACTTTGAAAAGAGATACAAACTAAATAGTCAATTCAGTTGACTGGCTTGTCCTTTCAGTATTTCCTTGTATTATTCATGCAGACACACTATGTAATTACTTCCCCAACAACTCTTATAACTCACAATTCCTGCCCGTTACTGAACTGTGCTAGCATTCCTGAGGAACACGGCAAAGAACAGATTCCTGTTAAAGAAGGCCATTCAGGCACTGGAATGTCTTTCTAGTGGTGTTTTTTTTAAAAGAAAGAGTTAATCTAAGAAGTATTTAACCATGTCTTCTGTAAGTGATATAATAGAAACAATAAGGTAATCTATTGTAATTATTTTCTAGTGCCCAAGAAAAGACAAATACAGTGCTTTTTCTATAGCAGTCCACATAAGCAAAGCATGGTCCTGGTGAAAGAATTGTTTTGAACATTCTGTGAATATGACTTCCAGAAAAAATACATTAAAAAAAACCCAAACCAAAACAAACAAAAAAACCCCAAAACAAACTAAGCCTGGAATCTCAATCGCAGATGTTCAGCACAAGTCACTAATGTTTGACAGTTATAAGCAACAAGATACACCATAAAGAGGTGTCTTAAATGTTTTAAAGTTTGGTATATTGACAAATTCCACTTCTAATGCAATTTTTTTCCTCATCTAACATCATTCTGCCCTGTGCTTCAGCCACATGAACTCGACAAAATCAAATGTGAAATACCTTTACCTAAAGTACTAGGAACGGCTGTGTTCCTGACATAGGAATTCCAGTTAATGATCTACAATTACAGCCACACACATAAGAAAATTTAAGTATTCTAGGAATGATACATAACAGTTCTTAGAGAACCGAGTTGTATTCCTAGAAGGCTTCTCATCATTGTCATAGTGCTTACTTAGCACAAGCAAACCTGGCATATTCATAGAATTTCAAAAAGATATCAGGAGAACTCTTTGCTTTCTGCATGGGCTTTTTAGCACTGCAAACCTATTTATAGTCTTAAACGATTCAAGGGACTACAAAAAAACTTCTATGTGGATGTGTAAGCACTCAAACCAATCAGTAGCTTAATCTGGTTTGCAGTAGGCTTTTTAGAATCTTTATCCCTTTGGCTTTTTTGCCGTTTATTCTGTTGATTTAGTGCATATACTTCAGAAGAAACCCATGACACATGGTATAGTGTTTATTTTAAGTGGTTTGGAGGTAGTTTTTTGTTTGCCTGCCCCCCCCCCCAACTCCCAAAGCAAGGGGTATAGATCTGTAAAGGTAAGTTCATTTCCAAATTGTCATTTGCAGAACTGCTTTCATTCTTTACCAAGAGACGGTTAGAGAAGAAAACAGATGCACCAAGCCTTGTTGACAGATAGGTTGTCATGGACAGCCTGATTTAAAAGTTGAAAAGGCAGTTTATTAGGTTAGGACATACCAGATATGAACAATTGCTGGGAGTATTTTACTTAAGTGTATTTGTATTTATGAAGTGGAAGACTGGCATAAATTCAGGACTGTAAAATTTTCATGCATTTGTGTACTATTTGTATACAGCTGTCCTGCCAGTTAGTCTATTAAGCTGTCTTCATCCTTCTTTGAAGGAATGAACTTCTGATTCGGGCTTGGTTTGATTCTGGTCAAGGTTAAAATCATGAAATGCTGTATTTTTTCTGCTAATCTTCTCTTCAGGGTTGTTTGCATAGGTCTGAAAAGGCTGTCTACATGACATACCAGAGCTCACCTCCATTCGTTTCAAGCATGTTCAAAATTGTCATCTGGACGGACTTCTCATATCACGCAACCTCTTTGCATTAAGCCTTTCTGCGTGACAGCAGTTTTGTTAGTGCTTACAGTTGATGGTTGCTTTTGTCTTGGTTTTGTGTTTATGCTACTTTTTGTCAGTTTTTTTTTTTTTTTCCTGAAGAACAGAAGTCTTGGTAGCTTTAATGATCACTGAAAGCAGAATTTTGTTTCTTCCCTGTGGGGCTTTCTCATTAGATGTGCATGAAATATACCTTACTCTTTATTTGCATCTATAATGAACAATGCATAAGTCTGGAGAGCATGTCTAGCTGGAAGTTTGAGGAGGAACAAGGTCCTATTTTTTCTGGTGATCCTTAATGAACTTATATAGCAATAGGGACCATATGTTCTGCATGGATGAAATACATGCCTGGTAAGAATTGTCCCAGGTACCTCATTACAGTCTTGTACTCCAGCATCAACTGTAGTGCTGCTCTGAGCATTCTCATAGTCTCTTAGATGTAACTTGTTTTCTGTTTATGTTGTGCAATTGAGGTACATTGACAAACCCTGTAAGGTTCTAACTCTTGGATCCCTGAGGATTCCAGGACCCAGATTAGGTGGTGCTGTGCCCTGAGGGAAGATCTTAGAAAACTTTAATGGTAGCTAAGCTAGTTCTTAAAGCCTAGAGTTTATTACACAACATGAACATGCAGTGGGAGAATTCTGAACACTTTTCCTGCAGAAAGTTGGAATGATTGATTAAAACTTGTACTTGGTCTACAAGAAATATATAAGAATTAAAAAAAAGAAGTATTTGTTCCATAAAATGGAAAAAAAAGGGTCCGTTTGCTTTCTTTCTGTCTCAGAAACAGTTTTTGGTGCTAGTACTAGGTATGAGACATTTGAAGACTATGTACTGCATTCTAGAGAAAAAATTTTTTTACGAGTTTGGTATATGGCCACAACAAAACCAGAATTCTGAACAAGAGACCATGTCTTCACAGGCATATAGGTGTGACAGCCTTCAGAAGGTGTCTAAGAGTAAGACACATATGTATTTCTGAGAACCTGCCTAAATGATGCTTTTACTCGTACTTTTTCTTCTGTACTGTCCTGAAGCATTAGATTATCTACTAGATCAAGAAAGTGTGCAAATCCTATTTGAAAGTAAGACTTTACAAGACAAAAAAATGAGGTTCTGTCATTCATAAAACTTGCAGATTTTGAAAATCTGTCCAATCTGCATTACCAAACAGACCTTTTAGGAAAATAAAAAAACGGAACGGGTATCCATGAACACTTTTTTGTACACAAGAGAAGACATGTACATACTTTTGGATTGAGTATTTCTCTCAGGTGCTAAATAAATAAATGTGTAGTTCAACTTGTATTAAAAAAAGAAACCTACAGTTAAAATGCTGTCCAATGTTGATAGTCTCCAGAGAGTCCTTGGATTACTTGATTGTGCCTTGTACAGATGCCACTTGGCATCCTTGACAACCTTCTGTGGCAGCGTTTCAGTTCTGTATCCTTTAGGGGAAGAGAGTGCACATGGACTGCATATAAAATTCAAGATAAAAGTGCATGTTGGATTTATACAGTGACTTCAGAAAGTTTTTTGTGTTCTGCTTAATAATTCCTAACAATAATTCTGTTAGCTCAAAGTTTAGTAGCAATCAAAAAAGCAAGTTGTTTTCAGGAACTATTTATTGTAATCCCAGGATCTTGCCTTTATTGGCAATTATTTGCTCTTTTCATTTTATATGGAAAGTCGGGACATTCCTCCCCCCCCCCATTTATCACGGTCTTCTGTCTTATTGTCCAAGCAGTCTGTCTCATAAGTCCTTCTGCAGTTCCTCTCAGTCAGCCCTTCTCTTTGCTCCCCTCAACTAGTTAATGTCATCAGCAGATTTTTGCTGCATTTTTCACTCCCATTTTCAGGTCAGTTATGAATATGTTGAACAGCATGAGTCTCAGCACAAATTCCTGTGGATAACAGTCAGCACTGTTTATGTAAATTATTTCTTATTAAATAAATTTGATGGCCATCCCTAATGGCCATACTTTTTAAAAGTGTTGAAAAATTGGTACGAGTTACTGAAACTTCTTTGCAAATAATTTCAGGTTTGAAGGAATGTTTAGCCTATCAAAAGAGAATATTCAAAGGGGACTTGTTTCAGTGAAAAAATATCTTCTCAGGGGAGACTATTAGGTATGGAAAAGCTTGTTTAATCTGTCTGCTTAAATGAACAAGTAGACTCATAGATCTATTTAGGAGTAAATAGTGAACTTACAACACTGAATGAGAGTGACAAAACCTCTGAAGATTTGCAGAGTTCATGGGGCTCCCATTTCATGCTGTAGAGCCTCTTGTCTCTCACTAAGACAGTTACTTAGCTATGGGATATCAGTTCTCATTCCATCTGGGGCAGTCTGAGATTATGTCCGAGATGTGCTGGAGAACGTGCCGGGGCGTTAAACTGCTTAAGTTGACCAAATACCCTGGTGTATACAATTGACTCACAGCCTTGTGTAAGAAATGCTTTAGTACTACCCAGTTATTGGGGCATCACTCCAAGCCAGTTTTTATTTAAGTTAAAACAAAAATATTTCTGAAATGGACAAAGGTGTTACAAACTTAATAAAAGACATAGGTAAAGGAAGTGAAAGGAAAAAATCCACGTTACCTGAGTTACAGGGTTGAATCTGCAATTC